ACTTACCTTAATTCGGAAATACGGTTTATTAGTCGAGTAGGTGATCAACGGAACAAAAATAGTTCCAGATCAATGCGTTCTTTAAGTATCTTCTTACTGAGCAAAAGACACTTAGGCAGCTACCGTTTCCTACCACAAGGTGCATCTTAAGCGTATCACATGTTTCTGCAAGTACGCTAGTGGAGCGTCATCACAGAGGACAGGTGGCGTTTAAACCGATTTCTTATGCATACTTTGCGGGCTCAGCATGTGCCTATGCCACCAACATGAGGAAACTGACATGATGTAGGATTTTTCTCCGTAGATGTTAGTAGCAGTTTGTGCATTATGAAGAAACTGCTTCTTATAATTGCTGTCATTTTTTAATTTACTTTGATAAAAAGGCAAAATTGGCCCAGTACATCTCCAATGTAAAGAGACAAAAAATGTCGCCTTCATCAACATGACACTGTATTCAGCTTCAGGCAGCTAAACAAGGCTGCTATAAATGGTCTTGATTCACGCTCACTAATCTGGTGGCTCCATTCCCTCATACAATGTTACCTTTCTCACTGCCATGGGAGAACCTTAACTCACACCTAGTTACCGTGACCGTTTATCTTGGCGTTCCGCTGCGTGTTAGAGCCAACCCGCCTAATGCATCGGTGTTAACATATCTATGACTCATGCGCTATACCCATATGTGAATCAGGCTGTAAATGAGGCGGAACCATTTAATTTGTGACAGTTAAAAATCTAGGCAGAGTAGTTCCAAATCTAAAGCATGTAGACAAGTCCAGAGTGGGCTGGGGCCCAATGTTACAATAATAGCTCTTTCCGATCTCTGGTCAACAAAATGACCAGTTCTCAAATTTGCGTAGTCGCCGCTTTACTGTTAACGCCACTACTGAGTGGTGGCAGTGTGTCGGTGCTGAGGCCTCACGATTAGGGCACGCAGCACATTCCCCTTGTCCCAGTATCTCTTCCTGCTCACGCAATTTTAGAGTGACTTCGATGGAGGTCAGTGACTTGAGGGCTGCTAATTGACCTTTAACCAGACAAGTTTTTATTAGGAATTCAAAAGCTATTCCCTATAGCCACAATTTCGTTCTGCGAAATAAAAGCTTCATTCAGCAACCATTAGTCGCATACGAAATTAGAGGCAGAGACACAACGGGGTTTTGCTAGACTCTGTGAGCGCAGACGGTCTTAAAGTTGCTTACGCGGATGAAACCAGTGTTCCTTCACCATATCCAGGCAACGATGAGCTCACTCCACACTCTTCCGAACCCCCACATTATCCTACTTCCCGGTTTGGCCATACTCTCAAGCCCGTGGTCCGCTTTGCTGATACCGCTCGATAATGTACGAGTGTTTACTGTTTCACAGCCCTCAGGGAGGAGGCAATATTTGTAGAGGATTTTCAGCGATCATACGTGAGAAGCCCGTTTACTGACCTGAAGGTGGCAGTGGTTACCAATACCTGTCGTCATGTCAACCATCCTCACACAAAGCCACACTTGGCTGGCGTGACGCTTATAAACGGTCTTATCTCTCATTTCTGGCTTCTAGGGACTGTTATCTCGAGAGTTGTAAGACAGTGCTACTAAGCCACTACAGGTTGCTTTCGTCACCTCCAGACTTCTAGTCTGAGTAGTGCAGTCAAGCTAACGCAACGTAGAACACGTCCAAGGACTTATATCGGACATCAGTAGTATGGTTATTGAGAGTACAGAACGAATTTCTATGGCGTTGAAATATGATTTACGCAAAAGTACGTATGCAAGCGACTGTTATGGCTCGGTACCCAAGGAACGATAGACTGAAAATAACTGCTGCGAAACTAGTAACAGCTGCCCCTCCTTTCAGATAACATGGCTAGATTTATCACTGAGCTAACGACACAGTCGAAGTCCAGAATATTCAGTAATCGGAGTAGCGGATTTTAACAAATGGTGTGATACCTCACGATGGCTTCCAGAAGCTTAACGATTCAGTTCGCATCCTATGGTTGATTCGTGTCACACATGAAAACTGGCTTCCTGAAGGTGCAGCCGGAAGCTCGAACATGGTCTTCGTCAAGCCATAGTGAGAGCAGCGGCTACGAGCGGCGCTCGAATTCTGACCCTTCAAATTAATACGTTAACAAAACCCGGCAGCACACCACCAAGCATCAATAAGCGGGCCATGGTCTTAGTAACAGACGAGCATCGTTGAACATCGCTAAACTCTTCTTACAAACCACAAAGCTGATTACGGGAGATAATTTTCTGCTGACTTGTACTACATCCATAAAGTCGGAAAACACCAGTTATGAAGAAGGGCACTGGTCAAACAAAGGTTAATTATCCTGCTATTGTTTACTGAAGCTAGTATCAGTTAAAGAGTCATAATGGAGAAGTGTTTGTGAGTGCAGAGTTCACAAAAAGAACATGCGATCCTGAAGATTAGGGTTCACCTTGAAACGATTATTCGCCAGTAGGCTGTCCACGGACTGCGCCTCCTTCAGCCATTCACGAGCACGGAACGCAGCCAAGTGGGCGTAGTAGGTCGGTGCCGGGTAAGAGACACTCCGACAGCATCGCATGTACGTGTGACACAGGAAATATGTGAAACACTGCAGTGAATCGGAGCTCCAGTCATTATCGTCATACAGAACTTGGTAGTGAGCTGGTCTTGAAGTACCCTAAAAAAAGCCAGAAGGATTTAACTGTTACAAACACCTCAGAGTAGCTTCAAATGCAGCATTTTACAGGTGCTGATACACTTGGTGAGAACAGGAGTTTGCGAAATCACCTAGCCGCAACCCAATGCGTCCACTGCCAATATTAACTGAAGCATGACCATTCGATTTTCCACAACTGGCTACAAGCCTTTCGATTGATTCAAATGGCCTCAACAGAAGGCAGAAACTCGGCAAGTTACTTGACCACAAAAAAAAACTCCACCCAGCAGAACTGTGGAATTGCTATAAGCCACTTATAATTGTTTGATTAGAGCAAAGTATATTTTGACGGCACGGCATACAGGCCAGTGGAGATTAACCAAACTGGTAAATCCCCCCCCAACGAAGGATGTGTCAATGTTTAAAACGACAATTCCTCTGAAATACTGCTGCAAAAACAACAGGATGCTAACGATTCCAAAAGGCCATTGTACGTTCCATTCCGAAGGTATTCATTTCAAACCCCGTCCTTGTCGACTACCTTCCTTCTTAAACTACAGCACCTCAAATTAAAAAGAATCCTTACTTGCATGCCCTCTTGCGAACAGAGGTAGAAGTCGAATCCATATCGATGTGTGATTTCTGTATCGACCACGGTGCCTGCTTGCACATTTTCACTGCAAGAGAAAAACAGTGTACTGCAAGAAACAAAATCATTTGAAGTTTCTTTCGTTCCGCACAAAGACCTGATTAGGTTTTACAGGCATCTGCCACAACACTGAGCGCAATACCACTTAAAAACTATTGCCTGTTTAAGAAATAAATTCACATCCTTTACACCAAAATTGTGAATTGGGGCTTAAAAAAGGTTACACTTGCCAGCAGGTAGTCACGTCAAATGAGGCATCAGACAAAACATATAGGCTATTGTACAATTGTTTTACGGGCTCCGGTTGCGAGCACATTTTTTGACTTCACTATCATGAGGGAGCAACTTGAGGTCCAAATATTTCAGGCCTGAAACAAGCCTGACCGGTGTTATTCACCTACAACTTTTTGCAATAATGCATTCCTCCCAGTACGAACCTGTTTTGACAAACTTTCATGCTAAAGACTGCGTAAAAAATACAGAAACTATGTTCTTGTGCATCCAACAACCGCATTTACAGTTCATTCGCTCCCACTCTTCAATAACAGACCACAATTGTCTCTTCCTAAATCTGGAAGCACCATGAAAGTCATAAAATTAAAAGCCATCTGATTAGACGCGCAAATAAACGAATAAACTACGGTCGTACCTTGAATCAATCGGCTTAAATCGGATGTGGTGGTGTTTCTGCACCACAATGAAGGTAATGCCGGGCTCGTAGCCGGAGTACGCGGTGGAACATGCACGTTGAATTGCAGCAAGTTCGTCATGCAACACCGTTGCAAATTGACCCTCCGAAACGCCGTCTCGGTAGAAGATTATTTTAGACGGGAGTTCATTGTTGCGTTTACGAAAGACCTAAACGTCGACACAAACAACAACACAGTGAACGACCCACAATAACATGGCCCATCAGACCAAGTCTGCACACATGCCACTGTCATATCCCATCGAGAGCACTTAAGTACATTTCAAACCTAATTAGAAACAGTTCAACACTCTCATACTACTTGAGTTAAATGACTCACAGCACTTCACATCACAAGTAATCTTGAAATAGTGATCTTAAAATCAGAGGGCGATTGACAAAGTCGACATCAGGTACAATTAGCAACACGTAACCTTGTTTCTCTCTTTGATAGTCAAAAAACCGCTCGCCCTCAGACCAAACATAACATAGAGGAGCGCCGAACACATTTCAATGCATACCTTTAATAGATCTGCGACGATACCGTCCATTCCCTCGATCACCTCGCGAACTTCCTTATTCACATTTTCATTCCTATTTTGTTGTCGTACGATGGCGACATACTGCATAAGGTCGCCTGTGATTGAAGCAGTGACGGCGGCAACCGATTTCCTAGCCGTCCCGTTGTGGCCTGATTGTGGCAGGTGAGTTACATCCGCGCCCATCACCATCACCAATTTCTTTCGAGCCAAATTCTTAAATAACTTATTTTCTTTTAATTCAGTCACCAGCCAATTCGTCCCGCCCAATTTCCCATTGATTTTCAGCATCACGTTACGTAAAACGCCTTGTCAAACAAATAAGGAGATGGCATTAGTTACAATCAATCAAGCAATCCTCAAGCTAAACTGACTTTTCTATTTAGCGACACGCATTCGTTGAATAACGTCAGACACATTCACCAACTGACGCTAACCAATTCCAAAACATTGCCTTCTCCTTTCTCTGATAGCCATCTACAAACTCGATTGTCGAGAAACACAGACCAGACTATCAAGTAACCACATTCGTCAATTTCCATAGCTGGAATACCATGATTCCACAAAAGAAAAGCGATATAATTGCTAACACGGAATGTTCAATTAATGACAATGAATCAAAAAGTAGGACAAGGCTTTAGACGTACTGAAGAAGTTCTTCTGTCGCATAGTCTGTGACTTGATGCACTGAGTCACAAGGCCCGTATAAAGGTCACCTAGACGCTTGATTTCCGCGTATCCTTCGCCTTCATGTAACAGGAAAATCAGCAGTTTCACTCCCTAAATAAACAAACCATACGAGTGCAATTCACTGACGTACAAAGTGTTGCTGCACACAAAATGCTTTAGAAAAAATAGCGCTTTAACAAACTACAAATCCCGTCATGTGTTCAACCATCACCTGGCCACAATCCGAACCTGGTTTGTATGTAGAAGCAACACAACGTGGCGCTACTAAATCCGCGTATCTTAAGAATCAACGTGATCTCACAAAGAGCTGCGAAAATACAACTTCTGCCTAACCCGCGTGGCAGCTGCAGGCTACGAAGCGGCTGCAACTGAAATAGCTGTGTCCAACTTACAAAGCCCAGTCACAGAGGTCGAAATTCCGCCGAATACTTACACTATGCAGCTCCCAATTGGAAGCTTCAACAACTAACATTTTTACTCACCTTCGTTTTGGCCACATTGAATTTTTCACTTAACCGAGCACGCTCGACGGGTTGCGCAAAAATAGGTCCTCTTGCTAATTTCACTCCACACTTAGATGCTACCGCCGGCAAAGTCTTACACACGTCCCGTATGTCATTCGTGCCTTCCTAAAATTTCAAAGGTAATTTAGCCTCGATTCTACTAAATTTGCGGTAAGGCAAAAAATGACTACAAACAAGTTGACTTCCACCTAATATACAGACAATGACTCCAAAGTCTAATCTCTGCACATTTCTACTGGAGCACTATGAATTAGGAAGCCACCTTCCAAAGACAGCGTTGCTAAGCTCATTCCGCATTCGTAGACCCGACCTTCAGTTAAGGCCGCAGATAAAGAAAAGTGTTTACGTAACTGGCCGAGAGCTGATGCAAATGGCATTGCGAGGTGTCCCAATTGTCCACAACAAACAGCTATCGTTTGTGCTTCAACATTTCATATCACCACGAAATTATTAAATTTCAGGCTTCACAAAATTTTCACATGTCCGCATCACAGTCGCGAACTAAGCAGAGTTTCCCAACACTCCTCGAAATCCCGTTAGCTTAATTGAAGCGACTTCCAAAATGCACTGCCGCAAAACCTACGCTTCATGAAAAAAAGAAGACCAACTGGCACATTACAGCGTCAATTTGCTGCGAGATCACTCATTCACTCACAGTATAAGGAGGAGTAGCGAAGACAGCCCATGTCACAGACTCAGGCGCGGCAGTGTTGAATTTTTCTGGCCACCACTTGCCTCGCCCTAGAGATTTTGGCGCAGCCCAAAATTTCCCCGTCGGCTGTGGCAGTTCTCGTGCTCTCACGGTTAGTGGACGTCGCTGAGGTATGTTCACTTTGAACCTCGACAACAGTCTGTGCCGGCTATAAAGAAAGAAGCACTAATTAGTGTATGAGGACACACGAGCATAGCACCCTACCACCGCATTTGCCCCAATATATTAGATTATCAAAATGTCGACAAAAATCGTGTACAATTGACTACATAATATAGGTGAAAGGTCTCCAATTTCACCCATTAGCTCACATAGGATAGTAGCGCGAGCAAGCAACAAACTAACTAACCACTCTCCTACCTGAGAAAAGGACCAAATTTCTGTAAATTCGTAGTCGATTAGCATACCAAACGCGCTTTGTTTGGACAAATTTAAACTCACTTCTGAGTAAACTCTGTCAAGAAAGTGTCCAGGGTGTTGAATCGTTTGCTCGGATCCACAGAGGCTTCCTTGATGATGGCGCTAACAACCTCTGCCTTCGTCGCGGTGGTATTTTGATATGGCAAAACTGTTAATAATTCCATAGGAATATACACCTCCTTATCCTTCCTTACCTAGTAGAAGAAAGATCCAAACAAGGGCAGCTGTTGATTCATATGGAAAGGACTGGGACGAAAATCAAGTACTGGTTAATTTAAATTCCTCTTTGACGGCTAAATCACCTTGCACAGAACGGAAAAAGTACCGTCCTGCAGGCAGGAAGCTAGATATCAGAATACAAAAGGGATTAACCTAGCCATATCGTAAGATGAAGTATCAGAAATTTATAACTTACTATGCTAATACAAACAACCGCATGTATCACAGACCCCTTAATACGGCCTTAGGTCAAATCATTTATCAGAACAAGTTGGTTAATTTACCAGACCGATCACAACAGGATTGCCCATCCTCCGAAATCCCATCTTATACAACGATCAAATTGACCAAAGAATCAATCAAAAAACTATGTGAAACGCACATCCCACGCCAGTGCTTCGACAGAAAACCAAAAAATTGCACTGAAAGGATATTAGATCAGAGTATCCAACAAAAAACTTTTATGATGGGCTTCCACATACACTGCACGCAGAACACAAACACGTGAGTTAAGAGACATGGCATGCAACTAAATTTGGTGTGGACAGATGACCATTGCAAGAGCCCAGAAAAGCCGTTGTTTACCAAACACGGCCGCGAAGGCTGCTGCAATGCCAAGATATCACATCAGTAAGTACAAGGACATGCATTTACCTTGACACAGGGGAGATCCGGATACTTAAGATCCAAATCGTACGTAGCCTTAAAATATGTCTCTACAGACATATTCAGATCTGGGATTTTTTCGTCCGCAGAGGTACATTTCGAAAGCCCAAACACTGTGTACTGCCTCTTGTAGCTTTTACCTAAAAGTCAGTTTTTAAAATAATTGTTTCATGAGACAACCATTTAGTAAAATCACATGAAGAATCCATCCTTAGCTACTTTATGGTGAGGCGCAATCGTGAATAGATCGACCAACACAATTTCGTGTATTTTTAGTCTACGTGCATGGCAACAAATACTCGTAAGCATGTTCGCTTTTAATTATTGTGCTTTAACTAATGTAATGGCCCCACGAACTGACCCAATTTCAAGTTTTCACTTATCGATAAATAAAAGAAGAGTCGTCACCAATTCACACACAAGTTCACATGAAAATGCATGCAATTAATTCGGCCCACGAGAGACTACTCAAGTGAAGGGGCGAACCGACTGACACAACCACCCAAGTTTACCATCAACACAAATACTATTGAACATGCAATGGAATTGCGGCCAAGTATTCACTTTGTCGTCAAGGTAGTGGTCCAAGGCGTCACTGGTAACCGCCAATAAAAAACGCTTTATACGTGAAGATATCTCCCAAGAACGAAATCAAACTAGGATAGGTACAGTTAGTACAGTGATTATTTATGTGAACTCAGCACACATGACTACTTGACCATTTTTACATAACTGATTACGAAACGATAGAATCCCCAGGAATTGAGGGCAATTTATGTTTTATATTCTCCAGAATTTAAACTCATCGAGTCAGTTAAGATTTTATGAGGTTATTGCAAGTCATGGGTCAGATCTTTAACCAACTTGAACAAATCATTCTAGTGGTGATGTTCATTCTTCTTGCGACACCACAGCGAAGTCATGGCAACACAAACCGGGTTTTAATCGAGAACGACCAGCAGAACTCGAATCACGCTCGCGTTTTCCACAATCTACTGACAAAAAATCTAATCCCTCGCCTATGAACACACTACTTTCACTTCACTAATACACATCAGAAAACTCAGCAAAATTACCTTCCTTGGTCTTGTAGTGGCTTGCCTCAACACGTAACCCATTAATGTCATTGGCCATTTCTTGCCAATTCTTCCGGAGATACATTGACATTTCATATTTAGCAAACAGAATGTCAGCCAAGTTTCCAGCAGGAAAAAATGCCTTGCAAACCTACAAAACATAGGTTAAACAGTCATCAACTCTTCAACTGTGCCAAATCCTAATTCATTAACAAGTTCAAGTTCACAGTTTCGCCGTTTTATTTTCCCACTTCTATGAGACAACGGAAACAGTGCTGGACTTGCTACAAACGGGTTTACACACCACGTATTCAAGAATATGTTGCGGTTGAGCAATCCAAATTAGACATTCGGAAAACCCAAATGCATGTTAATACAACTGTGGACTGACACCAGACCTAAATTTTATTCAAATATCTCCCCGATGCTTAATTTCAAGGGATTATGAAGAAGTAACTTGAATCAACATTATGTCGTGATCGAAGGAAGTACCCTACAAGATTACAATCCTAAGACTGCCATACCCTTCTATTCAGCATCCTCATTTGGCTGAATACCTGGGCCCTTCAACCAAAGCTCCAGTAAAGTTGGTTACTTAAAATTAAATCAAAAGAACTAGTTAATTGCCTGATCGAAATAGAACCGAATACGGCCCTAAATTGTTTTTCACTCCAACCTGTAAGGTCTCAACAGCTTAGAGGAAATTTAATAGCACAATATTTTAGCGGCTTACGGTATCGACGTTCAATCGCACTTTCCACTGTGGCCGAACACTGCATGTGAAACCAGAGTGTATGACATACAAATCAGATGGAGACGAATTCAATGGTTTTGGATAGAACAGAGCTGATTTGCCGATGTTGACGAATATCTCGCGGGTTACCCACTTTAAAAGACAATTCACCATTTTGACGGCGTCTTGTGGGATGTCGTTCGTATTCGCGGTTTCATTATTTACGTACTCATATATTTGCGAAGCAGACAATGAATACTTCTTTGTTATGTTGTACTCCAACGTCAGGCCTTCACGCTCGAAAGGGTCGGGTACGCATTCTCGGAATGTCACGGTAGAACTGTTTACACCCCTCAACGGTGATAGCGAGTACAAAAGGCGTCCTCCATCGTAAAAAACATCCGTCCGATTTCTTAAACAGACAAGTAATCATTTATTATACGTTAAAATTTTAGAACTAAGGAACCCCAGACTAATCAGCAGGAAATATACTAAATTCACCTGCAGAGGCCTAGTTTTGACACTTAAGGAAATGACGTCACTAAGAACTATCTGCTATTGGTTCTGGCATGATGCAGGCACCGTGTACTACAGAGCCCAACCATGCCGTTGTTATTGTCGGCTTAAGGTCGCTCTCTGAACAAACATCGCGACGTGAGGGACATTCAAGACGATGTGTTCGTTCACGTTGGCTGATCGCCACATACCTATATTCCATGGTGCATGTTGGTGATTTCGGCTTAAATTTAATCTCCGACAATTGAAAAAAGCCGAACCACCTGGGTCAGTGTCAATTAGGCACAAAAAATTCGTTTTACAAAATGACATCGCTATCTACGAGTATCAACATGGTCGAAACCCTAAGTTATTACAATTAACATAAGTAGATCTGTACATACCCATTAATAACTTCCTTTAAAAAGCTCCTCAACTTCGTGTCGGTCAATTTCAGTGTGCCGGATTTATCACCGATAACTTTGACCGGCTCTATATCATACGTATGGACTGGCACACCCGATATTTCAAAATCCCAACAATTCACCTGGACGGCCACTGCTTGACCAAGCGTACCACCGCTGTCCGGTCGGCGTGGATAACTTCTTTCCTTGCGTTTCGATACCGAACTAAGCACAAAAAATCACCTAAGCCGACTTTTCATGGAAACATACTACGTAACTACGTGCATACACAATACAATGCAAAATTTGACATGCATTAAACCAATGATGTCGTGACATAGACCAAACCACATGAACCGATAGTCAGTGCAAGGATAAAATGACACCAAAAGTGGTCGTTTCGCAAACTTCCACTCCAGCTGGATGGTTAAAATTTTGGGTCCCAAAAATTTTAAGCCTTACAATGATCGAAACACAAACAAGCCCTAAACGCACGTCAGGCAGCTACACAACGTGGACTTGTAATCAGTTGAGTTGAGCAATCATTAAAATAATATAGATACTGCCAACCCAAACATAAACAGCTAAATAGACAACAATAACGGTAAAGTAGCAGCGATTTCGAGATTAAAAGAACGTAAAATACTTATAATGCTTTCTCCTACCTAGATTCAGGTTGAGGCACTGACTCTGACGCAGTCCCATCAGCGTTCCCTTCAGTCCTCTCTTCATTACGAGCATCATTTGGCTGTGGTGGAGCTAATCTACAATATAACAAGTCCACCATTTACTACAGACACCTGTGCTATGAAAACCCCCCTTCAACGAAATTACCGTGACACACAGAAATGTCTAGCACTCTTTTGAGACACGAGTACCACAAAACAGTACTAAAATTTGAATCCGATAGAAAAAGGAAGAGGGAAGATTGAACAGTTGTGTTGTGGGTTCAGATGGGTGCTGTTACTGTAGTGTTACAGATCGCAGCTCTCCAATTTTAATCTAAGGTCGCATGAGCTATTATCGTACTTACTTGGGTTTTCTCCTTCTACGACGTTTCGAAGACACTTCTTCTGGTGCTGTCCCAGGAATGCTACGTGGAGGAACAAACACAAACATTTCACACCTCCTTCAAGAGCATTTTCAGTTATATACTACCCCATAGTGGGGTAATTTCAGCAATTTATTCCTAGTGTTGGGATTTAACTACCTCCTACCTCGATTCAGGTTGAGGCACTGACTCTGACGCAGTCCCATCAGCGTTCCCTTCAGTCCTCTCTTCATTAAGAGCATCATTTGGCTGTGGTGGAGCTAATCTGCAATATAACAAGTCCACCATTTACTACAGACACCTGTGCTATGAAAACCCCCCTTCACCGAAACTACCCTGACACACAGAAATGTCTAGCACTCTTCTGAGACATGAGTACCAAAAAACAGTACTACAATTTGAATCCTATAGAAAAAGGGAGGAGAAAGATTGAGCCGTTGTGTTGTGAGTTCAAATGGATGCTGTTACTGTAGTGTTACAGATCGCACTTACTTGGGTTTCCGCCCTCTACGACGTTTCGAAGACACTTCCTCCGGTGCTGTCCCAGGAATGCTACGTGGGGGAACAAACACACATTTCACATCCCTCCATAATAGCATTTAAGCAAGACAGTGTGTCTAAATCGTAAGTTCATTAAACAAAAATTTTCACTATGCTTTTTCCTACCTCGATTCAGGTTGAGGCACTGACTCTGACGCAGTCCCATCAGCGTTCCCTTCAGTCCTCTCTTCATTAAGAGCAACATTTGGCTGTGGTGGAGCCAATCTACAATATAACAAGTCCACCATTTACTACAGACACCTGTGCTATGAAAACCCCCCTTCACCGAAACTACCCTGACACACAGAAATGTCTAGCACTCTTCTGAGACATGAGTACCAAAAAACAGTACTAAAATTTGAATCCTATAGAAAAAGGGAGGAGAAAGATTGAGCTGTTGTGTTGTGGGTTCAAATGGATGCTGTTACTGTAGTGTTACAGATCGCAGCTCTCCAATTTTAATCTAAGGTCGCATGAGCTATTATCGTACTTGGGTTTTCGCCCTCTACGACGTTTCGAAGACACTTCTTCTGGTGCTGTCCCAGGAATGCTACGTGGGGGAACAAACACACATTTCACATCCCTCCATAATAGCATTTAAGCAAGACAGTG